TTTGATAATTATAATTTTTTAGTGACTAAAGTAGATATTTGATGAAACTTGAAATAATAAGTAATTGAGAATTAAAGGGAAATAAACAATATTATCAAGAGATAATTAGAGTAGTAAGAGAGAAAATTGTGAGAAAAAAATGAAGAAGAAGGGGGTTTATTTATAGTTTTTAAAACGTTAAAATTGTAATTTATCAATTATTAGGGGTGGGGGAGGGGGGCTATTTTCTTAAAAGGGTAGGCCGGAACGGCCATTTTAGCAAAAATGACCGTTGCCCAATGGTCATTTTTGAATTTGACCGTTGGCAACGGTCATAAATTTTAAAAAAAAATTAACACAATTGTAACCTGGCTAAACCGACTTGTAGCCCGGTAAAGGGTAACTAGGCTAACCAGGTTCCGAGGCACCGGTTATCAAAATATGTTCATTCCCGCCTGGCTCCCCCAAACCCTCCCCAACTCGTCCCACCCCCTAGCGTACCGGGTTGACCCGGGCTAAACCGAGTCGAATCGAGCTATGATAGGGCTAGCCCGACCCAATTAACAGTCTTTGTATAAACTAGATATGTGAGGATATGCAACTAGGGGGAGTATCATGAGTTAATGAGAGAGAACATAACCTGAAGATTGTGCCTGGAATTACTGAAAAGAAATGTAATCATGGCTTAGTACCTTTGTATTAAGGGATAGAATGTAACCAGGGGATGGTGCCCTATATTACCGATAGGAAATGTAAAGGAATGTAACCAGGAGTTGCCACCCTATTTCACTATGAAATATAACCAGGAGTTGGCGTCCTATATCACTAGGAAGGAATATAACCAGGAGTTGGTACCCTGTATTACTGAAAGAAATATAACTAGGGGTTGGCGCCCTGTATTATTGATAAAGTGCTGAATCCCTCTAGGCGAAAAAGGTTTTACCTGAGTTAAGCTACGTAAAACAGCCTTAGCAAAGAGTACTCCTACCCGGAAATATGAGTTGGATCCCCCTAGGCGAAAAGGTTCTGCCTGAGTTAAGCTACGAAAATGGGCTGCGAAAGCATACTTCTATCCAAAAATATAGGCTTGATCTTCCTAGGGGAAAAGGTTCTACTTGAGTTACGGTATGTAGAACAGCCTGAGCGAAGAGTACTTCTAACCAAAAAATATAAGTTGGATCCCACTAGGCAAAAAGGTTCTACCTGAGTTAAGCTACGAAAATGATCTGAGCGAAGAGTACTTCTATCCGGAAATATGAGCTGGATCCCCCCAGGAAAAAAGATTATACCAGAGTTAAGCTGCGTAAAACAGCCTGAACGAAGAGTACTTCTACCTAAAAATATGAGTTAATCCCCGTAGGCGAAAAGGTTCTACCTGAGTTGAGCTAAGTAAAACAGTCTGAGCGCAGAGTACCTCTACTCGAAAATATGAGCTGGATCCCCTAGGCGAAAAGGTTTTACTTGAGTTAAGCTACAAAAATGGGCTGAGCGAAAAGTACTTCTACCCGAAAATATGAGCTGGACCCCCCTAAGCGAAAAGGTTCTACCTGAGTTAAGCTACATAAAACAGCCTGAGCGAAGAATACTTCTACCCGGAAATATGAGCAGGATCCCCTAGGAGAAAAGGTTCTACTTGAGTTAAGCTACAAAAATGATATGAAAGAAGAGTACTTCTACCCAGAAATATGAGTTGGATTCCCCCTAGGTGAAAAGGTTATACCTGAGTTAAGCTACGTAAAACGTGAAGAGTATTTTACCCGAAAATATGAGCTAGATCCCCCTAGAAGAAAAGGTTCTACATGAGTTAAGCTACGTAAAATAACTTGAGCAAAGAGTACTCCTACCCGAAAATATGAGCTGGATCCCCCTAGAAGAAAAGGTTCTACCTGAGTTAAGCTACATAAAACAGCCTGAGCGGAGAGTACTTCTACCCGGAAATATGAGCTGGTTCCCCTAGGAGAAAAGGTTCTACTTGAGTTAAGCTACAAAAATGATATGAAAGAAGAGTACTTCTACCCAGAAATATGAGTTGGATTCCCCCTAGGTGAAAAGGTTCTACATGAGTTAAGCTACGTAAAACGTGAAGAGTATTTTACCCGAAAATATGAGCTAGATCCCCCTAGAAGAAAGATCCTACATGAGTTAAGCTACGTAAAACAGCTTGAGCAAAGAGTACTCCTACCCGAAAATATGAGCTGGATCCCCCTAGAAGAAAAGGTTCTACCTGAGTTAAGCTATGAAAATGGGCTAAGCGAAGAGTACTTCTACCCGGAAATATGAGTTGGATCCCCTAGGCGAAAAGGTTCTACCTAAGTTAAGCTACGTAAAATAGCCTGAGCGAAGAGTACTTCTACCCATAAATATGACTTGGATCCCCCTAGGCGAAAAGGTTTTACCTGAGTTAAGCTACGTAAAAGAGCCTGAGCGAAGAGTACTTCTACCAGAACATATGAGCTAGATATCCCTAGGTGAAAAGGTTCTACGTGAGTTAAGCTACGAAAATGGGTTGAGCGAAGAGTACATCTACCCAGAAATATGAGCTATATCTCCCTAGGCGTAAAGGTTCTAACTGAGTTAAGTTACATTAAACAGCATGAGTGAAGAGTACTTCTATCCGAAAATATGATTTGGAGCCTTCCAGGCGAAAAAGTTCTACCTTAGTTAAGCTACGAAAATGGGAGGTATGAACAATAGTGATGCATGCTAAAAAAAAGGAGATTTTGAGGAACTTACTTTTGGTTATATTCATCCTTTAAGAATTGCCATTCTGCACTGCTTTGTTTCTACTTCAAACGAAGAAAAAATTATGAGTTTTCAAAGTGGTGGTCGGTTTGTGGCTTTAATGCTCTAAGTACTTTTAATTCCAGGCCACCCCGCTGTCAGAGGACTGGTTCTGTCAGTGTGGTACCGAGTTGCTTGGAAATTTATCACTTTCTGGAGACCTTGGCTTTCTGGTGTTGCCTCTGACTGTTTCGTACCCGGATGTTTAAAGTGATGTGGACCCTTGTCTAGAAAGCACGTCTTTACTTTGGCGGTTTGTTTTTTGTTTACAAATCAAACTTGATTTTCTTGCACCCAATACCTATTTGTGTCGTGGTGCTATCAACTTTTCCCATGAAGCAAGTTCTTGCTTAGCGACCTTTTTGATTTCTTTGAAACACTTTATTCGGTTGATCAAAAGAGATCAAAGATGGATTTGTGCCGTTGTCAATGTCGTATATGCCCCAAATTGTGCTCGATATTATAGGGAAGCTATTGCCTGTTTTACAGCCATTTCTTTGCTTTGCTTTTGATGCAAGATTAGACACTAAAAGGGATTCAAAGAAAATTATGCGCAAAATAGATGAATTATTGATAGTGAAAAAGAACTATGTTTAAGGAAAAGGTGTCCCTTTTGGGGAAAGGAATATGGAGACTTATCTGGAGGTATGTGCTGATTTCAATGAATCATGACATGTATTTTGGATTGGATGCCTGATCCGTCTGAGCTGTCTAAATCTCAAAATCTATTGCAAACGTTCATCTGGAAACTGAGTCCTTGGTTGTGCTCATGCCTGAGTATTGAAGACCTTCGTTCGGCCAGTAGTGCCTTATGCAGGTTTTCGCTCTCTCATTTCTCTACTCATCATCACCTTATGTTGCTCATATGGCTTTCCACCAATAAGACACTTATTTCTCTACTCAATATTGCCTTATGGTGCCCATTTGGGTTTTCACCATTAAGACTCTCTAGTTTTCTTTTTTCTTTTTTTCTGCCGCCCTTGATTGTATGCATCAAGTGGTCCGACATCTTGGCATGGTGATTTCAACATTCTCAAAGATCGATTGGAAGGTCTTAACGGGAAAAGGTGAAAAGAAGCTCGAACTGAATTACAACTTTATGAACCATTTTTAAAGAATTACCATAAAAATAAAACAAATTCCTACCCCAATTTTGGAGTATTGTGGATATGAATTTTTGTTGTGATGGGACCGAACCCAGGTTAGGGCTGCCTACATATACTTTTAAAATCAGGTCGAACATAGTTCACTAACTTATAAGATTTGTTGTTTGATTGCTGTTTTTTTTCTTTTTTTTCTTTTTTGTTTTAACAAGCACACAGTTCCAAAAAGAGGAAAAACAAAGAATGCAAATATGACTCAAAAGGGTTAACAAAAGGGTGATACCTATTTGGGATAGTGAGCAATGATAGCCTTCGTCGTCTCGATCTAAGAAAATCATGCGTGAAAGTTCTACAGTGAGTATATATGAAATATAATATATTTTGACTGCATTTGCGTTAATGGTCATGTCTGATACCCATCCATCTTCATCTTCCAAGTGCAAGGCCCCTTTTGGTAACACTTACTTGATGATATAGGGTCCTTGCCAGTTCGGGGCGAACTTTCCTTTAGCTTTAACCTGGTATGGAAAGATTGATTTTAAAACGAGTTGGCCTACCTCAAAGTGTCTTCGGCGCACTTTCTTGTTATAGGTATGTGCCATTCTTTGCTGGATAGACCAAAAAGCAATAGGCTGCGGGTCTATTTCTTTTTGTGAGTTATTGGTCCACTTTTCCTATTTAAGTAAAAGCTATCCCAATGCCATGCAAAGCCCAATATAAAATAATTTGGCCTAATGGCCATGTGATATTCAAAGTGAACTAGTAGTCCAAATTCCCATAGGCTGGCTCTATACTTTAAAAGTTAGAACAAGCCTAGCACTTTGTTTTGAACTATGAAAATCAAAGTAATCTTACTTCAAATATTTTAGCATATCTATCTTTGTAATAACGTGGCTTTTCCTACCAACGAGTTTAGAGATGTTCTTTTCTTTAAATGAAAAGCTAGTTTTTCTTTCCAAAATTTTAACAACTTATTCGCCTTAGTAATTAATTTAAAAGCTAGGCAAATAATAGGCGTGTTTTAACTTCATGAAATCGCTTGTGTAGCGTGATGTTTAACATGTAATAAATTATCAAGACGGGTGACGAATGAACTTTATCTGAAAGAGTTTAACACTACCAACTTAAATACCTGGATATGCATCACTTGCATTTTTGTTTTACTAGCAGTTTCATGAAACAAAGGTGATAGTGAGTCATAATAACAAAGCAACTAAGAACCAGAAGGTTTAAGACATTTTGTCAACTAGAATATACATAGAAGTCCAAAATTTATCATATATGCTCACACACAAAACCTTACAAGAACAAAGTGCTTTTAAAGCTTAAAATAAATTGAAAAGAAACTCAAATTACTTCGTGTCCATTCAATCTTGACTCAAAATTATAGTAGCATTTTAAGAAAATTACCTGGATAGTAGAAAGAAAATGTCATCAAGGGAGGAATTGAATTTCAGCAACAAAATCAACAACTTATAACCCGAGAAAAAAACCCAGAAAAATCTAGCAAGAAAGTATTTGATACCAGTAGCTACTTACTCCGGCAACCACCAAGGATTCCTTTATTTTCTCACAAGTGATACACTCTGAGAAACATTCACCCGAAGCTCACCAGTTTCAGCTCTCACTATAAAATTTTAGCTGTTGTTTTACTCTATTTAGTTATGTGTTTTTAGTGTGTAAAAGATGTCTTCTATATATGATAGTTTTGTAAGCTTAAAGTAAGGAAAGAGCAGCCCGTAAGTAGGCAAAGAAAGTCATTTTTTGGACAAATTTTGATTCACCAAAAATCAATCTAAAAAAATCGATTTTGTATGCTAAACACAGTTCAAAGGCTTCCCAAAAGGTGAAATGATAGCCTGAAACCTACTGTGGCAGAAGTACGGAGGAAAGGGGTCCTTTCAGCCACCCTACTAGTAAGAAGTAGGCTACTAAAGTGTCATATTTCATGATTAAACTCATCTACCATCCAACTTTAAACTATCAACACCAAACTAGATCAACATAAATCAAACTTAAACTAGAACTTAACTCACTAATTGAATTGACAAAGTAAATATGACTTCAATCGTAACCAAGCTAAGCATTCAAATAAACCAGACTAAAATCAGTTTGATTTATGAGAAAATTAACATAGAGCAACTGAAACTATAACCTATTGCACTAAACAAATTTAAACATAGTATTGCTGCACTATCAGACAATAATTAATAGCAAAAAATGACTAACGATTAGATAATACAACTATTTCAAATTATATTAGTGCAGCCAAATGAATCAGGAATGACCAAATCAAGCGAAGAAATCAACTGAAATCTAAATAGCAAAAACAAAAACAGAAAAGGAAAGAAAGAAAAATAAAAAGAAAGGGAGGTAGGGTTTTACCATATGAGGGAAAGTCGATGCCAAATCGAGCAACGAAGAGATGTCGGGGTCATCAAAACGTGGCTGTCTGACCTTGAAGCACACGTTTCATTTTGGCAGACGCTAAATTCAATAAATTCAGATTCATACCTAAAGGAAATGGGTGTCCATGGGTCAAAAATATTATAAACATTGAGGCTTGTCAATGGTAAGGGTGGCTTGGATAGTGGGCTAGTTGGATCGGCGGCGGTGGTGTTTTTGGGATGAAGTTAAAAGGAAAGTGTAGATCTCATTGAGATCTACATGTTCATGTAGTTTTTGTGGGGGGTGTAGTCACTGGTTCTTCGTGAAATTGAAGAGGAAAATAAATGGCGGCTATCTAAGGTTTTGATTTCACAGAATTTAGAGGGATTTTTGAAGATTTGGGGCTCGAATTAGGAGAGAGGGTAAAAAGAGAAAGAGATTGTTGTAAGGTTTTATGGGGTTTGGATGAAGACCGGCCGGTGGTGGCGATTTTCGGCCAGCAGAGCCACCGTGAGGGGTAGTGGAGACGCGGGGAGTTTAAGAGAGTGAGGACAGAGGAGAGAAAGAAAGGAAATAGGGAAAATAGAGCAAATATTTTGGTATTTAGGGGTTTAAATACCTGAGTGGGGGATTGATCTTCAGTCGTTGGATCATCAGGGCATGGACTGGTGAGATTTAATATCTGATTCAGTAAATAAAACGACGTAGTTTTGCCTTGAAACTATGTTGCTTGAATGCTCCATCAGACAAGCCTAGGCTGGGACAGTTCAAACGGATTGGACCTTTGATTTGGCATGATTTAGGCCCAACTGATAAAACAAAAACTAATTGGCCCAATTCTTTACCATTCTATTATTATATTTCAAACTAATAACACAAAATCAAATAGAAAAATATGGTCAAAATATAGGCATTTACATTGGCAAATGGCACTTATAAAGAATTAGTAAATACAATATATAAATTGCAATTGGTAAATGCGATTTATACTTCGCAATATAAATGCATATATCGCAATTTTCAATTTCGATGTATATATCGCAATTACAAATTGCATCTTATATATTGCAATTTTACGACTTATATAACCCAACTATTATGCAAAGATTTGCGGTTTAAAGTTTTCTTTTGACATGATAAAAAGGAAATACAAACGCAGAAAATAGGATCATGTGACAAATAGCTTAAAAACATAACATAGATTGTTTAGAGATAGTCACAGTTGTTTGAGTCAGAGAGCAAATATTTTTTCTTGTTTATGAAGTAGTGAAGTAATAGGATCTGATAGTGTTAATGAAGTAATAGGAATTGATGGTGTTAAGTGAACCCACTGAATGGGTAAAACAACTACAGCTCCATAGAAGAGAAATCATTTAAACCCGTTAAGATTTGCATTGTATAACACCCATTTAAGAGAAAAACACTCTCTAATAGGCATTTTTTTCTTCTCCGGATAGTTATATCTCTTGAGGTGCAATTAATCATGATTATTAATTTATTATGCTTATATCCGAGATGACACTTGGATTCTATCAATGTTGGATGTTCATGTCACAAAATTTGATACAAAGGGAAGGCAGATGATGGTAGACTTATGTGAGAAAATGATGAACAAATTAACCAGGATTAGGGCCCTAATGGAATGATCCGGTCGGTCATTTTGAGAGTATTAGTTCCGATCCCTTAATTATTGTTTTTCCCGTATCTTTTTCTACTTATGTAACTTTTCAGAAAGTTTTGTTTTGGTTTCGGAGTGATTTGAGACACTTAGTCTCTAAAACGGAAGCTTAAGTTCTAGGATTTTGACCGTAGTTGGAAATATATGAAGATGACTCCAGAATGGAGTTTTATCAGTTATGTTAGCTTCGTTGGGTGATTTTGGATTTAAGAGCGTGTTCGGATTGTGATTTCGAGGTCAGTAACTGAATTAGGCTTGAAATGGCAAAAGTTAAATTTTTAGGAAGTTAGACCGTGAGTGGAATTTTTGATATCGAGGTCGGATTCTGATTCTGAAAGCTAGAGTAGGTCAGTAATGTCGAATATGACTTTTGTTCAATATTTGAGGTCAATCGTACATGTTTTGATAGGTTTCGGTATCGGTTGTAGAAGTTTGAAATTTCAAGTTCAATAAGTTTGAATTGGAGTGTGATTCATTTTTTTGTTATTGTTTGATGTGATTTGAGGGCTTGGTTAAGTTCGTATGGTGTTTAGGACTTGTTTATATATTTGATTGAGGTCCCGGGGGACTCGGGTGTGTTTCAAATTATTTTCGGATAAATTTTAGACTTGTGAGAATTGCTGAAGTTTTTCAACTTCTAGTGTCATCACACCTGCGGTGACGTTGACCGCAGATGTGGCCCTATTATGGATAGCCAGTGGTCGTAGGTACGACAAAAGGACCGCAGAAGTGGAGCCGCTCCTGCGGAGAAGTGATCGCAGATGCGGGAGTCGAGCTGGGTAAGGATTTCGCATAAGCGGACAATTATCCGCAAGTGCGTAGGTGTGGCTACTTGATCGCAGAAGCAGACCCAGGTGTCTTAAGTCAATTCCGCACCTGCAATGGAAATTCGGCAAGTGCGGCATTGCAGGTGCGACTGGGGGTCCGCATGTGCGAGATCACAGGGCAGAAAGGGGGAAATTATGAGGGTTTGATCTCATTTTCACTTTGGGACTTGAGAGCTCAGATTTAGGCGATAATTTAAGGGATTTTTAGATGAAGCGATATGGTATTGATTCTTAACTCATTTATGGTTATATTCCATAACCTATAGTTAATTTTATCATTTAATTAAGGATTTGGGTTGAGAAAATTGGAGAAAAAGTTTGAAAGTTCTTCAACCAAATTTTTGGGTTTTGTTTGAGATTTTGAGATCAGATTTGAGTAATTTTGGTACGAGTGAACTTGTGGCTGAATGGGTGTTCGTTTTTTTACTTTTACTCGATTCTGAGACGTGAGCTCGGGTTTACATTTTGGGGTGAATTTCTAATTTCTTGATAATAACTTAATTTCATTAATTAGATTAGTTTCTTATAGTTATATTTAAGGTATGTGATTGTTTTTGGCTAGATTTGGGCCACTCGGAGTCGAAAAATTGCAGAAAAGGCATTTTTACTAATTGATTAGCTTGGTGCAAGGTAAGTGGCTTGCCTAACCTTGTGTGGGGAAAATCCCCTTAGTGTTTGGTACTGTTGTGATATTTCTGTGATATGCGAGTGATGTGTATGCAAGGTGAAGAATGCGTACACAGGCTAATTGTTGAAAAATTCGGGTTTCACTGAGTAGTAACATGTTACATCTTCATTGAGTTATACCCGCATGTGTTGTTATCCTGTTTAGCCTAGTATCGTATGCCTACATGTCTTAAATGCTTATTTGAAATCTATGCGGCATGCTTAGTTGAATTCCTATTATTCCTTGATTCGTATCAGTCTTAAATTGTAGAGTTCTTATTGTTAAATGTTGTTTTCATATGTTTCGAGCTGTGTGTTTACCTTTGGGACTACGAGGAGGTACCTCGGGAGATCCTCCTGCACATTTACTTTTGGACTATGAGGCGGTACCTAGGGATATCCTCCTGCACATTTACTTTTGAGACTACGAGGCGGCATCTTAGGAGATCTCCATGTATATTTACTTTTGGGACTACGAGACGGTATCTCGAGAGATCCCCTGTTTATCATTTACTTTTGGGACTACGAAACGGTATCTCGGGAGCGCCCCTATTATTTATCTCTATGTATTGTGTTGTTATTTTTGGTAATTCTCCTTGTTAGATTCTCAGCCTATTTACATTATTATATCTTCTGTCTTGCTTATTATATACCATTGGGGTCCTGACCTGACCTCGTCACTACTCTACTAAGGTTAGGCTTGTCACTTACTGGTACCATTATGGTGTATTCATTCTACTCTTATGCACATGTTTTGTGTGTAGGTCCCGGTACCTCCTACCAGTCCCGCTATTAGTCGCATAGCTGCTGCTCAAGACACTTCAAGGTATATCTACCTGCCTCCGTAGACCTCCGAGTCCCCCTCTATCCCTTTTATGTTGTTCCTCCTTTATTTCTTCTAGTTATTGATGTATAGAAACAGTTAGAAAAATTATTAGAGTTTGTGACTTATGATTACCGGGTTTTGGAAATATTGTGTATACTCGAGTGCTGGTTTACTTGTACATGCCGAGCGACATTTTATCATTATATAGTTATCTGTTGCAGTCTAGCTGTTAAATTCTATTTTCATTTATGTTATTGCGCAAATTGTTAGGTTTACCTAGTGTCACACCTCCTTTTTTACCACCCGAGGGGTATAAGGGAGTTTTTTCCAATTTAACTGACAATCGAAACGGGATTATTTTATTTAAAATTTATAGTCGCCACTTGGGATAATTTATGGTGTCCCAAGTCACCGGTTTAAAATCCGGAATCGAGGAAGATTGAGTCTATTTACTGTCTGCGAACACAAAAATTTGGGTAAGGAATTCTGTTAACCCCGCGAGAAGGTGTTAGGCATTCCGGGGTTCCGTGGTTCTAGCACGGTCGCTTAAACTATTAATATTGGCCTATTATCTAATTTACTACATGTTTTTAGCCAATTGTAAATTTTAACTTTATAACCGCTTTTAATCATTTGATCGTTTTTTAGGATTTATAAAATTATTTCTTGAACAAGTTACGATTGTCGTACACTTGTTTGTTTTGGAACACGCCGCGAACCATGCTGCATGAAATGCACCCGCGATTCACGACATCTGTATTTTATTATTATTCAAAGTTGTTACGTTTGAGTCGCATGAAATGCACACCCGAATTGGGGATTACGTATCGTGACCATGCCAGGGAACCGTACCCATAGACACGATGATTTATTAATCGCGCCTAAAGCAAGCTACAATGTTCAAATTATTTCCTAAAACTAGTTTGAAATTATTGTGAAGGTCATAATTTATGGAAGTCATTTGTAAGTGAAGATATTATGACTTAGTGCTTATTTAAAGACGGGCCCACTAATAAATTCATTTGTATGGTCGATGGTTTTAAACATTTGGACTATTTGTTCACATTAATTTGCTGTATCTTCTATTACATTTTCAAAGCAATGCCAACAAAAAGGTTGCGACGACTTAATGATATGATTAAGATCTGTATCCATCAACTCATAAACCAAATAAATATCCTTGAAACTGCTTCTATGAATAGGCATCATCACATCCTTCAAAGCAACCACATTCTCATACCTAATGTGCCGCAAAAGCTTCAATTCTCTTAGTGTTCTCAACGAATCAATTCTATTTGAAAACACGTTATTGATCTTCTTGATAGCAATTACATCATTTTCAAAACAATGCCAACATAAAATTAAAATAAGAATGTAAACAAACTAGCATTTTATCCTAATTACATCAAGTAGTGAGTTAGCTCCAGCCAACTATGAGCAATTTCAATTATGAACAGAATATCACAAACAAGGAATTTGGCTAAATATATCATTCCAACACCAAATAAGATAGCAATTGACAAAAGGTGAGATGGAACGGACCTTTTATATCAGAAACACTTCTTGAATACAAGGGTGGGAATTCAACAAGAACAACTCGACCAAGAGAACAGAGGACTCGCCAGCAACCTCGCCGGAAATATCCAACCTCGGAACAGACATCCTCGCTACTAGATCTAAGCAACCAAGACCTTAAAGTCATTGAAGATTCCCTCAATTATTTCTATTTTCCCTTTAACTTTGATTGTGCCTTTTTCCTTTTCCAATTCATGTGTAGCATACGCGTCTGATTTTTCACTTTGTTATTGTACCTAATTTCATCAATCTTTATTCTTGCACCACATGAAAAGCTCTAGCCTAGAATATTTGCTCTGTTTTTAAAAAGATTAAGAGGAACATAATATATTGTGGTATTTTGGTGATTCGCACGGTGGAAAGGCAGTTACTAGACACGGTGATTACTAAGCTTTGTACATGATGGTATTATTGGGTTTTGATGATTTTAATCAGCTATGAATAGGTGATGTTTGTTTTTTTGGTGAGATTTCATGGAGGAATTAGTTTGAGAAAGGAAAAATGTGGTTCACAATGGTGAGGATGAAAAGCTGCGCACTTTTTTCATGGCCCCGCTCTTTTCTTAGCTAGGTGTTAGTTTTATAGAGGGTAGAAATTAGGTTAGCTTAAATAAGGAATGAGTATGGGCTTGGATCTAGGAAATTGGGTTGGACTATGCCTTTTTTGGATATAAATTTAGGCTAAGAAGACCAAATAATACAATGTATCTATAAAGATGTAAAGATTACTCTAAATTAAAATAAACTAATATAAAACTAAATACTATGAGTGAAACTAATTTTTTTTTTGTATATTCAAATGTTATAATACTATAAATATAAATATACTAATTGACTTTAACCTAAAGATGAACATATTTATTTTATTTTTTGTGATAAACTAAAGTAAAAGAGTCAAAACTATTTAAAATAACGATATTAAACCTAAATTAATTATTTTATGCTAAACATGTGTAAAATCTTGGGGAGGGTCAAAAATCACATGTCTACAACTGCCCCTCTTTGACTGCAAACGCGAACAGTTTTCAGACAAAGATTGACGAGATAGGTTTTTTGACCTGACCCTTATTTGGAGAGACCAAAAACTAAAAGAAAGGAGAATGTGACCGAACCCTGGTATCTGAGCTGCCTACATATCCTTGGCTATAAAAGAATCAGGCCACATGTAGTTTAAAATTAGGAAGAGTGATGGAGTATACCGAGGTGGAGAGCCGATTGAGGTGCCGTCGAGGTTCCGGTCTGCGGTCCCGTTATTACAGCAAAATCAAAATTAAAAAGACTAACTAAGCCTATCAGCTATGAGTTACAAGATTCCTTTTGATGAGTCTTCTGAAGATTGATCTTGAGTCTTGGTTGGTTCTTTATGCGGACTCTGATCTGAATCTTAATGCTTATTAGTTGCAGGTGTTGATTCAATCTTCTTCAGCTTTTTTAGATCAAAATGGGACACGCAGAGCTTGTGACTTCAATTATGTCTTGAGCAGTCCACATCTTTTCTCCGCTTTTGCACTTTGGATTCATTTTTTTCCTTTTGTTCTTGATTGAGACTTCTTATGTTGATCATCTCGGACTGCTGACTCGCATTCTTGATGCGAGATTCTTTTGTTGCTGACCTGAATTGCGTTCTGAATGGAATTCCCTTGTTTTCCAGGTGGGCGCCTGATTGCTGAACTTGAACCGTCTTCTCTTGTTACTTGAAACTGTTTTCCCTTGCACCTTGAACCATTTTCGCTTGAAACTTGAACCATCTTTCTTTGAAACTGCTTTCCCTTGAAACTCGAACTGTCTTCCCTTGTTCTCCAGGTGGGCGCCTGATACCACGGCAAAATAGACAAAACAAAAGAAACTTTTCTGCCCCAGTTTGCACTAGGAAGATTTGTGAGTTGTTAGCAATATTGTAAATCACTTATACTATTGATGCAATGATGAGAGTAAACTAAATATTAGACTAGGATGTGCATTTCCTATGCGTGATTGAACTTGTGCAAAACTATAAACTAAGCATCACTAAAGTAAAAACTGCCCCTATTCTCCAGGTGGGACCCCTGATTTCAAGAAATCTAAAAATTAAACCCTCTTTTTTCAAATTCAGACTTTCCCTTTTTTTAAAATTATTATACTAGGAAAAAATTCATCGGACTAGGTTTTCTATCTTAGGAGAAAGATTCATCATACTAGGTCTTCTATCTTAGGAGAAAGATTCATCATACTAAGATTTTGATCCTAGAAGAAAATTCATCAGACTAGGTCCCCATTTTTTGTTATCTTAGGAGAAAGATTCATCATACTAGGTCTTCTATCTTAGGAGAAAGATTCATCAGACTAACATTTTGATCCTAGGAAAAAATTTATCGGACTAGGTTTTCTATCTTAGGAGAAAGATTCATCAGACTAAGACTTCGATCCTAGGAGAAAATTCATCAGACTAGGTCCATTTCTTTTAAAATTATTATCCTAGGAGAAAATTTATTGGACTAGGTTTTATCTTAGGAGAAAATTCATCAGACTAAGACATTTATCCTAGGAGAAAGACTCATCAGACTAGGTTTGCTTATCTTAGGAGAAAGTTTATCAGACTAAGATTTCTATCCTAGGAGAAAATTCATCAGACTAGGTTTCTTTTCTTCTTCTTTTTTTGGTATCTTAGGAGAAAGATTCATCAGACTAAGATTTCTATCCTAGGAGAAGTTCATCAGACTAGGTCTTCTATCTTAGGAGAAAGATTCATCAGACTAAGATTTTCATCCTAGGAGAAAATTCATCAGACTAGGTTTCTTTTCTTCTTCTTTTTTTGGTATCTTAGGAGAAAGATTCATCAGACTAAGATTTCTATCCTAGGAGAAAGTTCATGAGACTAGGGTTCCTTATATTTGGAGAAAGATTCATCAGACTAAGATTTGATCCTAGGAAAAGGTTCATCAGACTAGGCATTCTATCTTAGGAGAAAAATTCATCAGACTAAGACGTTTATCCTAGGAGAAAGATTCGTCAGACTAGGTTTGCTTATCTTAGGAGAAAGTTCATCGGACTAAGATTTCTATCCTAGGAGAAAATTTATCGGACTAAGATTTTTTTAGGAGAAAGATTCATCAGACTAAGATTTCTACTGAGAGCAAAATCCATCAGACTAGGACTTTTTATCCTAGGAAGAAAAATGTGAAGATCAACGACAAAATTTTATGCACAATAGCAAGACAAATAAAGGCAAAGATTTGAGAAACTTCCCTTTGTCGGCTCTTCTCTTCCTTTCTTTTTCTTTCTTTTCTTCTTTTTTTTCTTTTTCTTTTTCTCTTTTATTTTTATTTTTATTTTTTCGAACCACTTTCCTTGCACTGCTTTGTTCCTGTTTCAAACAAAGAAAACTTTGTCAGTTTTAAAAGGTGGTGGTCGGTTTGTGGCCTTGAGTCATGAGCAGATTGGCTTTTGCTCGATCAACCTGAGTCGGTCTCAAGAGACTTTTGTTTTGTACCAACTCTGATTGTTTCACACCCAGTACCATTTGTATTTGTAGCTCAAACAGCCTTATCCCAACTGGAGATCTTTGCTTAGGTGACCATTTCTGATATCTTGAATGACTTCCTGCTTTTGAGCAATTTGTCTGTCAGAGAGAATCAGCAGTTATCTTTGCTTGCGCCAAGTAGGTTGACAAGAGTCTTTTGGATGAGCCTTTGCATGAATCCTCAAGGCACGTTGATAGTAACAACTGAGTGTGCTGGCCAAATTTATTTTATGCAACTGAAAAGCTGATAGCAGATTTTGAAATCTTTTCTTGATTGTTTTGACAAGGACTGACTTGGAGTGAAAGACACAATAATACAAAGAAACAAGTATTAACAAGAAATGCCCATGTCGGAAGGACAAAAGGAAGAGTTTTTTTTACTTTTTCTTTTTTTTTAATAACTAGCCTTATAATCATGACATGCATTTTGGACTTAGTGACCGATCTATCAAACTAACCAAATCTTCCTTTTTACCACTCTTATGATTTTGAAGTCGGACTTGTTCGTGCCACTTCTTTGCATCAGCTTCGCGACTCACTTTCGACTAGTGGTGCTCCGAGGGATTTCACCTATAAGCCTCTCTCATTTATTTATCTCTGCTTACCGTCGCCTTGCAGTGCCCGTGAAGATTTTCACTAGTAAGACTCTCTCATTTTTTTTATTTTTTTCTTTCCTTTTTTTTCTGATTTTCTTTTGTGAGCAACTTGAATATGTTCTATGTCGTGTGACAACCATTGCTCATTGCATGTTTCTCTTGGCATTCTTGAAGGCATATTGGGAAGTCTTTATTTGGAAGAAATTTGGATAGGGTTGGGAAGAAAGGACGTCATGAAGGCTCAAAATAGACTCAAAATGAAGGGTTGTGGACTTACAACTCTTGGACTCGACTCTTTCAAAAGTGAAATAAAATCTCTGTCCCAGTTTCAGATACTAGGGAATTTTTCTTTTTGGAATTTTTTTTGCGACTTTTATTTCGTTGGACCGAACCGTGAGGCTTCCTACGTATCATTTTTTAAAGAATCAGGTCGAACGTAGTTCAAACATCTGACCTAACTATTTTTTTTCATCTTTCTTTCTGTTTTTTTCTATCTTTTTTTTTCTTTTTATTTTCAAAACAAGTTGCCCCAGCTTCTATTTTTTGAGGGCATGGACCTTTGACAATTCTTTTCTTCTTCATTATTTATTTCACTTGAACTTTCTAAGAATTGCCCCAGTTTGTACTCTTGGGACATGCACTTTTATTTTCTTTTTCTTTTTTTTCAATTTTTTTAACTCTTGACTCTAAACTTGATTCCAAAATAGGGTGGTCAAAGAAAATAACACGGGCTCAAAAGGGGTAACGAAGGGTATAAAGTGTTTGGATAGCAGAAAAATGGCCTCCCATCCTCGAGAACGCCAATTATAGTATCCTTTCGCAATCACATCATTGATGAACATGCCTGTCTTCTTGGGTCTTTTTTAGTGAAAAGCTGTATGAGCAATACTTTCCTCGATGTAAATGACCCTTGTCAATTTGGGTGACTTTTCTTGGATTTTATCTTGATGTAGAAGATGCATTTTGCCACTAACTGATCCATTTCAAGTTGTCTGAAATACACCTTCTATTGAAAAACACTTTCTATCTCTTAGTTTTAAACAGAATTCAACCTGTCCGATTATCCTTAAGCCTCATCTTCTCAAACGATTCAAAAGGTAGAGATCCTTAACTTCCATAAGCATGACTGCTTTAGTTCCATGTAAACTTAGCTCATGGTTATTTTTCAAATGTTTCACGTGTCTATTTTTCTTCAAAAGTGTCTCTTTCTCACTTATCCAATTCAAGACTAAATCAGTTTTCTAAGATTTGACCAAAAATTTTGCATGCATGTCATGTTACTAAAACTAGCGTGAAAAGAACTATGCACAAAATGGACACAAAATGACTGACTGTTTTTTATTGAATAAAGGATAGCAGGGTCCGATAACACAAAAGAAGAAGAAAAGACGAAAAATAAGCTACCATGGCTAAAGGAGGAGTGACTTTCCAGTTACTAAGCGACATTTTAGCCACACATTCACACATCAGCGTTACTACGTCATT